TGTGGAGGGCAGTGTCACTGGCCCTCATATGTGGGATCCGAACCGGGGCCCTCTGGCATCCCAAGCCAGCTCTTAACCATCGCGCCACTCGGCTGGCCCCCCATTTGGTTTTTTACGTAAAGTTCATTCACCCTTGCTTTAAAAGGAGAGATCACCATTGTTTCTCTTCAGATCAAAGCTATTTTAGAAGCCTGTATAGACTCCCTCCTGTAAAATGGCCAAACTCAGTCTTTAAACTGCTGTCAGGGCAGAGCACGTGCCTTTCATTTTAAGTAAGCAGTTTACAATTTAGAAATTAGATGGAATTTAGATGGCATACTCTTCTTCAGGTTTCAGTGTTCCAATTATTTCAGAAATAATCTTGTATCATTTTCTGAGAAAAACATTTGCCCTTTACTTTAAAAGACTTTAGAAATAAGTACATGAAAACTGTTTTCATGAAGGCAAGGATCAAAGAACTAAAGAAAAGTCATCTTTTATATTTCCTTAAGCACAAATAATTTCTTAAGTAAGATAATTTTCTCTTACTCACCTGTCCTTCTAGTAGGTCACCATCTTCAGCTTTAACTTGTCCATTAATCAAATAAACACCATCCTCAATTTGTTTGGCCCAGCGTGCAAGTCCATTCTTAAAAGCAGCACAACATGGATAGATTTCAGATATAAAACCATCTCAATTAGACTCCCTAGAGTCTCCTTTTCCACCTAATACACTAAAATAGTAAAAATCTCTAAGTATCAGTAATGTGATATTTAAACTCAGTCTCATAAACAATGAAAAAAGTGTATCCCCAATTTTTGGCACCTTACCCATACTTAATAATAGTTTTTCTAACCTTTATCCCAAACTAGCATTCACAGCACAGACTTAGAAGGCTTAAAACTATATGACCACAGTCAAATAAAATTCAGTAATATCCATTATCTTTAAAAAAATGTGAAAAAGGGAAGGAGTGCCAAACAAATATATAAAACAGTAATGAGGGAAAATAAGCAAGCTCCATTTGCCTCCTTCAACAGGAGAAAAGAGAAATGAGATATGGAGAAAAGAATGGCATAGAAATTTTAAAAACGGACTAGAAAAGGGAAAGCAAAACTAAAGACCAAGAGAAAGTAAAAAGACCAAACCGTGTATCTTCTTACCTAATTATATTTTACATAACTATATTTAATAATCTATATAACTACATGGTAATTAACAAATATTTATGGTGCACCTATTATGCTAAATATTTTAGTATTATGACATTGTCCCACCTCTAAATTTCTAATCGGGCTGGGGTATTAAATTAGTTACCCATAACAATATCATAATTGAGAATTATGAAATAAATATTTAAATAGAATAAAAGCACATTACCTATCCAGAAATCAGTAAAGAAAATTCATTTTACCCTGGTACCTTTGTATTTTTCTCCAGAGTATAGCTGGCAGAAGTAGTAGACAGTGGGATATGAATATTAATATGAACTGTACACTCTAAAGAAAGCCAGGAAGTTAATAGTCCGCTTTGATACTTCCAATCTGCTGGTTTTGCAGAACTCTTCAGCAAAGAAAGGGAGACAAAAACATAAAACGTGTGACTTAGGTAAAATACATGGATCAGTAAAACATAATATGTACAACCTAATAACTCATACAAGCTGAGAGGTAACATATTTGGCCAAATTCTTTCATCAAAGGGTAACAGGTTAGCACTAAATACAAATAAAGCATGCACGTAAGTTCAGTAATCTTCAGGAGACTGAATTTGGCAACTCCTTTCCCCAGCAGTAGGCTGAAAAAGGATCACATAGTCCATGTTTAGAATTGACATGTCCTCTGGTTCTCATCTGGAGCTTATGATATGAAGCAAATAATCACCTAGTGACTACCAGATGTTCTCCTTTCTGTCCTATACTTGCTGACAGAATACAGCCATGTTACTTTTTCACATTACTTTCAGACACCTTAGTAAATGTGGGTATGGATTCTGCTGAGTATAGGTAGCTTGCTTACTAGGCAGTGCAGTTACCAAAAGCCCATACACTCTTACCAGCAGCCTCTCCAATACAATACTAAACACATAAACGAGGCCGGGGGAGCTTAACAAAAATATTTTAACAATTAAAAAAAACCATAAATTTTCCTTGCCTGTAAGGAAATTAACCGTATTTCAAAATAAAAAACTACAGGTAGTGTGGACATCAATAGCAAGCGATAGCATTGAAAACTATTCAACCTAAATAAAGAATTGAATTTTATTTTAAAAAGTTTGCAACACAGAAAAATCTTGAAGGAGCAATTTTTCTTACCTTTGGATCATGGATATCATAAGTTCGACAGAGTATTCTTTAATAATTAAGGACAGAAATGACCAAAAAGAAAAGAATTCTTGAAAATCAAAAGAAAATAAACAATCAAAAATAAAAATAAAGTGCATGCATCCAAGAGTTTTTACCAAATCATCACACTTTATACAAAGATATATACACACATATATGTATGTCTTTGCAGAAATATATATATGTAAACTGCTCTGATCATAGTACTGTGGAGCTTTAAACTATTTCCCACTGCTTATAAATCCTGCTAATCACAGGAATAGAATGAAGCACCTGCAAAACTTTCCTCAAATATACACCCTCGATAATAAATGGGAGTGCTGCTTTGGATGGCGTCTAGCTTGAGAATGTTTATTGGGTCAAAGGTCATGTGTATATAACACTCTACTTAAATACTGAGGAAGTTAAAAGCCCAGCTTCTACAGGAATGGTCCCTTTTTGAATTCTGTCTTCTGCAAGTCCTAATTCATTGGACCCTTGCATTGCTTCACTCCCCCAGAGAGGCTGCCTCTTGCTTGGGAGGCACTCGCTCTGGCAAGCTGTAGAGGAAAGAAGCTAAGTTGGCCTTATAACAGGCCTTTGGTGTCACTTAATCTGGGCCACAGACATAAAAATTTCTTGGATGTCCTAACCGTCCAGCTCCATGCACCTGTGCTTTGAACTGAATATTTTATCTACAGCAGCTGGAGGTGAAAATTTAACATAATAAAAGTATTACTTTGCCTAAGCTGTCAGTTGGGCGTCTGCCTTTCTATAGGGGACCTATTGTGCTTCAGTGTACAGGGGTCGACAGCTGATAGAGTTCAGAATCCCTGGTTCTTGCCACCTCTCTCAAACCCTTCTCTCTCAAACCCTTTTCAACCTTGACACATGATTAACAACCATTATTACTACTGTTATTATTGGCAGTCCTAATTATGTGTTATTAGGAAAACGTACAAACCATCCCTATTTTTTAAATGATTTAAATAAATGTTTGGGGAAAAACTTGCAGGAACATTATTTTGGTATTGAATGCTTTAAAACATAAACACCTAAAAAAAAGATACTTTTTTGTAGAAGAGCAAATGTGAAGCGTCACTCGTTCGGAGACTTCCTCCTCTGTGAAATTCCACAGTCTCTTTTTATTCATAGCTTTTTCCACAGCAAATACTAGCTGAAAGAGGAAAACATACACCAATCGAATGCAAAATTTAACAAGAAAAGTGAGTGCACAAAAGGACAATTATAATATCCCGAATCCCCCATCTAGCTTTAAAGTTCCATGATTCTATCATTAAATTTTTCTTCAAAAGAAAGAGTCAAACTAATTATTAACCACTTGGGTTTCATTTTTAGGAAAATATAAAAATTGGGTTTTAAACAGAAAAATATAATTCACTGTCATTAAGAATCAATTAATTGGACATGAAAAATTAATTTTGTCAATTAACATTTAGGTGAAGTGTACAACAAACACTTTATTTTAATTAAAATGAGAAATGACAAGTGATTTGTAATTTGCAAAAATGGAGCATGTCATCCATTTAGCACTTCTTAAACTCACAAAAGATATAAGGAAATACATAAGAACATATAAAATTTAGCATTAACATAAATTAAAAGTGAAAAAAATCAGAAATAGTGACATAAATGCATGACAGAAATAAGAATTATAAGAATGCGTACTAGATATGGGGAGAGGAGCCATAAATTTGGCTCTAAGCTTTCTAACAATAATGTGCACAGAGAAACCCAATCTGTCACCTAATTCACATGGTCCTTAAGCTGAAAACAAACAACTAATCAGGAGAGACACAACTTTCTTCATAATGATATCAAAAGAAATTTCTTCAAAGACAATATTACATACTATAACAAAGTTCTTAGCAATAACCTTATAGGAGACACTGACAAGTTTTACAAGGTTATTTCTTATCATGTCCCTCAACACAGGCCATGGGAGCCAAAGATAATTAAAACTCAATAATTAACACAGAATTTGTAAAGTCTTACATGCTTCTATAAAGTCTTGGGCCGGCCGAGTGGCGCGATGGTTAAGAACTCGCTTGGGATGCCAGAGGGCCCCGGTTCGGATGCCAGAGGGCCCCGGTTCGGATCCCACATATGAGGGCCAGTGACACTGCCCTCCACAGCTAAGATGCTGAACAACAGCTCGACCTGGAGCTGGGCTGCCCGTGAGTCGCCGGCGACGGCGTAGGCTGCAGCCCCTGTGGCAGTGGGTTGCCATGGGCTACCGTGTGTAGCCAGCAGCCAGCGTGAGCGGCCAGCAGCCGCAGTGAGCGGCCGTCCAGAAGCTGGCGACTGATCTGCCTCGCCAGAGATGAGCGCAATGATGGTGCCAACTTGGGCCAGTGAAGCAACATCCTCCACAACTAGATTGAAGAACAAAACGACAGCAACTTCTCTGTTCCCCTTCCCCCAATTCCCTAGCACTGTTCCCATTCCCCAATTCCCCAATAAAAATCTTAAAAAAAAAAAAAAGTCTTATATGCTTCTTGTGAACAGAAGACACAAAAGCAAAGGAAGGAAAACCTGACTGTACCTCTCTAGCACTGAGCCCATATTCACCCCATTCAATCCAGCACCAACCACAAAAAGATGCACAACCAAAGCTATTAAATATGTAAAAATTTAGATTACATTTCAAAATATCAAGGAGGATGAACAACTGTGAAATGTACATTTATTTAAATGGAAAAGATGGCAGAAGGTTGAATAACTTGCCAGGGGAGGGAAATATCCCCATTTTCTTCCCTTACTCCCTTGGTGCAAATATTAAAGGTTTGAGGGTGGGACATTTGATAGGAAAGGTTAGAAAGCTGGAAGAAGCCGTAGCATCTGGGATTCTTAGCTGCACACTTTTTTACTAGAAAAAGTTATTCTGGGATTCTGTGGGGGTTTGCACTTCTTAAGATTATAGGGTCACCCTCTCCCTTGGGGTGGGACATAACGTTTTTAAAGGCTCACTTGGACCCTGAATACTAAGAGAGATGAAAGCTGACTGTAGACTTTGCTTTGGGTTTGGGCTTAAGGGGAAACAGCTTGTGGACTTTCATGCTTACTTCTAGGCTATGTCACCCAATTCACTGACGTAGGAATAAAACAACAACAACAAAAAATGGGATCTATGATACTCTGTCCAGGAATAAGGAATAAGTACCTGATTGTTGTTACTTTACGTTTTACTCTCAGAATCTTGAGAGAACTGAACAGGTGAAGAACTGTAAAACCTATTAGTTATTTCACATTACAGCAATCACTTGGAACTCAATGGAAGGTCCAGCAGAATACCACTATTGTACAACCAGTGAAATCGTTATAACTTGTTTCATAACTGTAAAAACTGATCTTTAAAGTAAAAACTATTTAAAAATAACTAGCTTTGACTGAAAATACAAGCACTGGCATTTATTACACATAAGATGCCAAGCAACCTAGTGGAAAAAGATATTTCAACATATTCTCAGAGTAAAGTATTATGCAACACTCATCTAATTATGCCTAGGATTACTTTATGTATATGTATAATCAATTAAAATAAGATATATCTTTGATCACATTAAAAATTTTGGTATTTCAGACTTACTCTGCGCAGGGCATTTTGAAAATCATTTCCCATTTCTAAAGTTGCAATAATGAATACCCCAAGAACTAAAAGTCCCCCTGGTAGCATTCTGGATACCTAAAAAATAGAAATATAGTATTAGCTAACATAAGCATTTGGCATTATATGTGAACCTTTGTGTTTGAGAAGCTAAATATTAAATCAGCAAATGCCTACTGAGCACCAACTACACACACAGCACTGAGGCAGGGACTTTGAAAAACCGGTTAAAATACTGAGAAATGGATGACAACCAAGAGCATGGCGTGTGTTTATCTACACAGTCTTCCCAGAGTGTCCTGAACTTTTTACCCTAAAATTACCTTACAAATAAAACCATTTAATGATGACACCCTTTAGCTACGTCAATCTACAAACCCCTATTTCATGAGATCAAAGAGTGAAATATCTTCTAAAATTTTTTCAGTGGCCTCCACTATCAGCCACACAAAATATCAATTTTGTCTTAGATTAGTATTTCTAAAATCTGGCTAATCTGATCCTCAGAGTCTCATTTGACACTGCTCTCTCTGAGATATTCCAGTATCCGTCAAAGAGGCCTCATTGTTCTCCGTACATACGTCTAGGCTTTCTAACTCTCGAGATTGACTCAGGCTGTTCCCTTAACCTGAACTGGCTTTCTCTTCTGCTTCTACAAGCCTGGCCTCTGTGGAACACTTCAGTCAGCTTGCGGAATCTGCCTTCCCTGATCCTTTGATCTCCCAACTGCTGTAGGACTTGAGTGCCATTTTCCCATGGAGCTTATCACACGAGCCTGGATTATAGTCGCTGGGGCCCCGTACCTGTTGGTCTGGGAGCTCCTTAAGGGAAGAAATAATTTTAACTAACTGTACTTCCTACAATATTTAGCGGAATACCAGAGCCAGGAATTTGAACAGGGGATATCTGACTTGAAATTCCACTGTTTCCTATCGTGTAGCTTTACCTCCATTGTTAAAGCCTATTTATTGATAAGTATATTAAGCATTTATGTTATTTCTAATTTCTCTTTACTCTAAAATAATATTGGTTAAAAATCCTAGCAAGTCTTTCAGTGTTCATAGCATTATTTGCTTAGGATAATTCTCTTGAGATGGATTACTAGGTTAAGAAGTTTAAGGTTTTTTGATACATACTACCAGTTTGTCCTCCATAATATGTCATTTCCCTTCACGTGATTGTGGTTAGTTTTTAATGACACATGGATTTCTTTCCACCATCTCTATTCAGAGAAAAGAGTACTTCAGGTATCTTTTGTATAGTGAATGTATGAGCAAATTGATCACAAAATTTAATTTTCAGAAAATCAGATACCATAATCTAATCCCTAATAAATTTGTGTTATATCAGCTGATTTCATGAATTCTATTTATTATAGTAACACAAGCTTGGCACATAAATAAAGAACAGTTTTCATATTGAGCATTAGGCACCTGCATATCTTTTCAAAATCACAAACATAAAATTAACCATTTCTTTCCAGGGGCAAAAAACGTTAATCTATTTTGCTTTGTAAGTTTTACGTTTCTGTATGTGTATATACATATATATTCATATATAATATGTATCTCCATATATATGTGTGTATATATATATATATATATGTGTGTGTGTGTGTGTGTGTGTATATATATATATTTTTTTTATCAGCTTTTGGGAAATTTAAGTTTAAAATATTTAATATTTTTGTTAAAAGATGGTATTATATATTTCTTGGACTTTTTCTATAACTACATACCACCCCCCAATCACAAACCCTTACAAACACCAATAAATGTGTTTGTTTAAAAGATTTAAAGTTGATTAGAGAAGGAAATAACTCTACTTCTGCCTTACTCTAACCTTCATTAGATAATATAATCCATTCAATAACTGGTTTTAAGTGGATTTACTCATCTTTCTTTCACCCACCTCCAAATTGGTTTCCTCCTGTGTAATAGCAACACCATCTTCCTAGACAAACAGGCTAAAAATCTTAGTAATCTTTAGCTACTCTTTCACAATATCTCTTCACTCCCAATCTACTCGGTCACTAAATCGTCTTGATACTAGCTCTTCTCTGAAATGTTTTGACAATGAAGTTTTAGCTCACTGTATCAGTTTACTCATGAATTCATTTATCCAACATTTTGGAGTTCTTCTTATAAACCATGAAAGTGCTGTGCTTCGCATTGAGGATATAGCCATAAGCAAAACAGACGTTCAGAGACAAGTTTAGGCTCACATCACTTTTTTGGGACTGTTGCTCTATCTGTATGTCTTCTGTTCTGTCTCCAGTCTGTCTACTCTCTATTTATACTGGACCAAGGCATTGAAATTATTTTCTAAATTATTGACAGATCAATCATATTAACTCCTTCTCACAATAGGGAGCTCTGGAAGACCACCACAGAGCTACTGTCCATCAAACAAACTCCTCACTTCTTAGGATGAGACTCCAAAACCATCCATAACTAGCCCCTTCTAGTCTTATGTCTAAATATTCTTTTATATACTCTGTGTTTCAATGGTACCCAATTACTTGCTATTCTCCTAACACATCTTTAACTTTCATGCCTCCGGGTCATTTATCCACACTGTCCTTTGTGCATTTGGTGCGTTCCATGACTTCTTCTGGCCAAGGTCTGTTCATCTTTCAAATTCAGAGCATTATGTGAACTTGTTTGAATCCAGCCATTGGCAGGTATGTAATCATTCCCTACTCTAAATTCCTGTAACACTTGTCTATTTTTATGTCATTTCTCTTGTAAACTGGTTTGGGTAATAATGTCTTTTTGCTTTAGTTAAAACATAAATTCTGAGGCTAGTTATAAAAAAAAAAAAAAGTTAACCATCATTTTATTCCCTCAGTGCCTAGATTAAGTCTTTAAAACAATCTGATCAGAAACTATATTATCAATAACCAGTATTATTTTAAAGTAAAGAAAAATTAGAAATAAGTTAAATGACAAAGAACAGGTTAAAAAATATAACGGATAAAGGTCAACAACGGAAAAGCAGGCATATAAGATCAAAATGTCAGACTGCCTGGGTTCAAATTCCAGTTCCAGTACTGATTCTGTAGTCATGGGTAGGTTATTTAACTTCAAGTCAGAAAATGCAAACTTTGAAAACTTAAGATTGAGTACTCTGAAATCCTAGTCTTGTAGTAACCTGAGGATAAAGTGTTTTTGTTTTTGTTCGTCAATAAACACAAACTTAACTACATAAAGAGAAAAATATGATGACCTGGTTGGCATGTTCTGTGGCCCATTCTTCATCCACATTATCCAACTTAGCTTTGGGATGTTTGAGGTTCTCGTTTTGTTCCTCTTTGGGTGGTGTTCTAGTGGCAAGAATCACATAATCCTTTTGTGAAGAACACTTAAAGACAAATTAGAAAAGCTCATTAGAGTGGTATCTCATTGAGGAATGTAGAGTTCTTATGATACACAAAAACTCAGTAATATCTATAGCAGCATAAATTGCTAATACCTGTACTATAATGGAATCTATAGAGAACGCAATTGTCATGGATAGGCTTACAACACTGTCTTCATATGTTATCTTTTAATATATTTATGTCAGCCCCTCATTTATGTGGACATCAATGTGAATCACATAGTGGTCATTAAAAAATGGCTTCCTGGAGGGATGAATGAACTGCATTTAAATGAAAAGATAATAAATATGCTTGGTCAGTTTTCTAATTACTCTATTTCCTAAATAATTTGACTAGATTGGATCGTTCAGCAAATACAAAAACTCAGTGAAATAAAGCAGCAAATGACCTTGTGCGTCTTACTTTCACTGACACGATTATGGGAAACCTGCACATGTGTGTCCATAGAAAAACAAAGCGGACATGGGGCACGTAATTGTAGTGGTATCAGGTTTATGTTTCTCAGTTTGAATAGCGGTTAAATGGTAACCAAAGGTGGGACATTCAAAGATGAATTTAGGAACATGTAATCGCTCAGTCTCATTACAGTGAAAGCTTCCTAGAAAGAAAGAGCAAAAATAAATCTGATAATACAAGTTAGCACGGTGTCATCCTCATGCATGACCTGAAATTCCCCTCATTAGTGTCATCCTGGAATAGAAAAGAAAGGAAGATAAACTGTTTCTACAAAAGTTATTTCCAGAGAGTTCCATTCCAATGAACACAGAAAAGGGTAGGTATTAATTAAGTAAGTTCTTCCTTTCACAAAATCTATGACTCTGAAAAGAAAAAGAAACTGACCCTAGGAGTAGGAAGCAGACAAGCTTGAGGGGAAGGAGAGAAAAGTGATGAACCCTGGGATAGAGGACGAAGAAACACGTAAACAGTGGAAGAGATGAAAAGGCAGCATGAAGGAAGCCCGGGAGGGACGTCCTAAACTGTGGGAGACTTCTTTGTCAGATGCTGGTTTTGCTGAGCTCTACAAACAGTCTATGTGCAGCAGGGCAAGTCTGGAAGAAGGTATTCCTCACTGACCTTTTATCTTTACCGATCACATCTTCCTCTAAGACTCTTCTTCCCTTAATTCTTGTAGAATAAAGGGAAGTAAAAGAACCTTAAATAAATACTTCCTAGCAAAAAAGCCCTACAGTAGATATTAAGTAACCTGAATTAAAAAGAAGTTCAGAGTGTTGCCAAGAGAGGCAGTCTGGCTGTCTAATGAGAGGCCTTATAGTGTGGTACTTACTCCCCACGGGAACAGTGCAGGGTCTGCCCTCTGTCTGACAAGTTAAGATTTGTGACCACGAAGGGGCGTAAGCACGAGTCCTCTAGACAGCACTTTCTTTATAGGTAGGTAACTATGGGGCATCAAGTTATAAGAGAGAGTAGCTTGGGAATGCGGACAGAGTCAGGACAAGGAAAATTAATTATGTCATTTGAAGGTTCTAAGGCATCGTGATAAAATATCCAGAATGAAAACTGTCACAATAGAGCTTTTATTTGCTATTAGGCCTGTAAATCCAGTCCTTGGGCCACAGTACTCTCTCCCCTAAATAGTGTTTAGAGAAATCCAGACAAACTGCCTAGGTCTGTCTAAACACTTTTTTGCTATTGTTGCTTTGTATTGCTGCTCAGTCCTCTCTGCTGATTAACACAGTCTTTCTTCAATTTTAATAAGTCAGTTGGTGCTTATGCTTTTTAAAGTAACTGCCCAAATCTCTGCTCCATTTTGTATTGATTTGTAAGGCTTAACTCTAAGAGGGAAATAGAATTTGTCTTATTGTCAAAATTCTTCCAATCTCTTTACCTTCCTCTCCACTGCATCAATGTTAAAAAAAAAAAAATCTAATAAGATACTATAATATGTAACACATACATGACCACTGTAGCTACAAGTCTGAGATAAGACAAACCAGAATGGGAATAAAATTGTCAAAATTTTGGAGCTTCTACACATTTTTATGTTGTCAGAAGAGAAGTGTTCTGAATTAAGCAAACCTGGACTAGTCTGATCCTACTACTTATCCATGTTTTCCCTCAAAACCTATTTTTAAATTTACTTCTACATTCCATCCCTCTATCCCGTTACCTTGATTCTATTGTCAAACAGCAGATCTTAACTTTAAAACAGGTTAATTTGTTTTTATCAATAAATGCACAGTAAAAGATACATACCTGTCCTATTAAAAGACCAGAGACAAAAGGCTTTCCTTGGAGGCTGATGTTTGAAAGATACTGACCAACATTCTCTTCTACAATGTAGGTTCTTCCCATTGTGGAGAACTAATTCAATCTCCTAAATTACGAGAAAAAGCAAAACACAAAACACATAGCATTTTTACAGAAAAAAACACAACTTTTTTCTCATGGGTACTGCCCAGTATTACCCCATGCCAAGCAGTGACTGCTTAGTAAGTAGGGTATCCTTACTTGCAAAGTTCAAATGTAGCTTCAGAATTTTCCACACAGGGCTGCAAGAAATGACCAATCAACCAGAGATGACATGAGAGATGGAACTTGTTTCCGTACCTGGATTAAGGGAAAGGACATCAGTCGGTAGTCAACATAGCTGCTTTCTGATTGCAGATGTATTACTCCTTAGTTATCGCTCCTAATCTACTGCTGAGCCTCGGTGTGCTCACGTCTAAAACCGGAAAGATGATCATTCCTGATTTGCTCACTGGAAGGTAGACGGAATCAAAGTCATTTACTCAATAAGCATACTAAGAAGAACTACTACTATGTGCTAGAAATTGTATCAGCTGTTTATGGTACAAAGATGAATAGTACCTGACCTCTGCTCTTCAGTAACTCATGGTACATACAACAGGCACTATGGAAGTAGATAAACAGCAATGCAATAATAATGAACATTTGTACATCTTCTACTGAAACAAAGAAAGGTAATGTAACTTGCCCAAGTGGCAAAGGTGTGGTTTAAACTCAAACAATCTGGCTCTAGAATCCATGCTCTTAAATATTATGCTCATGCTGAGGAATCATACCCAGTCTCTCTACTAAACCATTATTAAGGGTAACTCCTGCTCTTTCTCTCCAGTTTGTGCATGAGAACCAGTGTATTCCTCTTACTGGCTTATGATCCTTTGCTTTGATTTTCTGCAGCTTAAACCCAAAGATGCTAAATAAAAGAGCTAGGCGATAATGAATGATGATCTCAAGGAGTTCATATGCAGTGTGGGAGACAAAAAAGTAAAGCGATAATATTTAAAAAAGCTATAGAGTCAGATGTGCTAGGATGGCATACCTGACACCCGGAAACTGCCCGTCACAATGATTTTACATCGCTCCAAAACTAAAGCCCAGAGGATTGGTTCCAGTTTGAAATGGCCTATTAGATGCTGTGTTTTCCAAAGAGCCGATTCAGTGTTGCCTCACAATGCATTAAATTTTTTTCTACCTCTTTTCTGACACCCATGCAAGTAAGTTGGGTTTGCACACCACTTTTGTTTAGAGTAAGACTGGAATTTTCTGTCTAAATCATTAATGCCCCTACCAAGTTAAGGGCTGTCCACTTTTAGTAGTGTCTTACAGTATGCGTTTCTGCGCATTAAACTCTCCTCATGCATTTCTACTCCTTTCCTTCTGGCCTAATAATTCCTAAGTCTCGCAAGAAAGAGCAGCGACATGACTCCAAAGTTATGATACATAGTTTTCTAATCTTATTTCTTCCAAGGTGTCATCTACTAACCATGCTAATATGTGAGAACCTGAGTGCAGTAGGAGAATGATAATCTATTGGGTTATGATATCTGGTTGAATGTCAGATCATTTTTTTGTGTGTGTGCTCCTTCAAAACTTTTAAATGTAGTCAACCATCCTTTATGAAGGATGTTACTAAAAAGGTGTACCTTGCCTTACACAGTTTAATTTTTTTTAATCAGAGCAGGTCTGCAAACCTACCTAATTTTAGGATTCTGCGAATTCAAGTACAGAATATCTGCATTTTTCCAAATGGTAGCTCAATAACATGATAATATGGTGGACCTAGGACATAGTACAGTAATGCATGTACCAGCAATCTTAAAAGTGCTTATATACAATATTTTGGGGAAAATTCAACCTTAAGTTCCTTACTGATATTCACAAAAGGTCTGGGACTCTGGGAACTGCAGGATGAATTATGCATGCTTTATTTTCAATAAGTAATTTAATACATTTTAGAAGAGTAATCAAACATAAAACAATTTACAGATTGAGCTCAGAAGTCACAAAAGTACGATCTGGAAACAAGTAGTTCTCATACAGTGACAGAGTGAGCAGTGGTTTTTAAGAATTGTTTAAAAACTTTTGTTACAACAGTTTTTCAATTTTAAAAATGAAAGGTAACGTTTTCTGCAGAGTTGTCGTCATAAAACATAAAAACAAAGGTTACACTCCAACTCCTCCTAGTTTTTTAAAAGCTTCTTCCTGAAAAACGAAATGGGTTCCCTAAATTCCTCTTGGATCACTGTTACCCACCGCGCCACCACAAATAAATGAATGAATGAATAAATAAATAAATAAAAGCATCTAAGTTAGCCGTTTCAAATAAGGTGAGTCTGTCACAACTGGACTTGATTGTGTTGTACCGAAGTGTCGGCCCATATGTTTCCTACACTCTGTTCCTTTCCTCCTGGAAAAGGAAGCTCTCTGTGCCCAAGTGCACACATACAACCCTCACACACACACACGAATTACACGCTTAAGCTGACTCACCAGTACTGAGGATGTGCACGCGTGGCAGACAAATGTGTCGCACTGTCAGCCCACCCGAGTGAGAAGGGCGTTTAGGGTGCAAGCACCAGCCTCCAAGGTGCCAGATTCCCCTCTGGTCCCAATGCCACAGCCAATGAATTCATCAGAAAGCGACGGACTTCCCACACCTCACTTCCCACTCCAAACCCAGGGTCTCGGGAGTCAGGTGACGCAGATTGATGACGCGTGCAGCCCCCCTGCCTTCACCGCAGCGCCTCAGCCAAAGCGACTGCGGTCGCCACCCCGCCCCCTTCCGGGCACTATTGAGAGAGTGGCGGTATCCCGGCGCCGGCCGGCCGGCCCTGCCGGGACCGATGCCCTCTAGTGGCTCAGTGTCTAGAAGCCGCCAAAGAGGACGACCCATGGCATCGCGAAGCTTTGATGGTAAGGATGCCTTAGCTCTTCAGGGAGGGACGGGGGTTGACGAGTACTATGTGGCGCCACCTCGCGGACAGTGGTCACGCTACCGGGCAAGAAGAACCGGGGGGGCGGGGAAAAAGGAGGAAGCCAAACGGACATTGCGGAATTGGTGCTCAGGGGCGGGATTGAGGGAAAAACTACGTTTCCCAGAGGCCTGCGGGGCCTGCTTGAAGCGGGTGGAAAGGGGAGCCGGAAATCCGAGCGCACGACTAGGTCAGAGGCCGCCCCTGAACTCGGATTCCCAGGGTGCACAGCTTCCAGCGGCTGCGCGCGCATTCGATCGCCGGCGCTGGGTTCTTCTGGTGCTTCACTTAACGCGGGACTCGATTTCCCAGGGTCCCGCCGCGGGAGTCTCCGGCGGGCCGGAGCGCGCGAGCCACCCGGCGAGGTGGCGGAGGCGGCTCCCCAGACTTGTGGGTCCTGGTCTTCGTCTCTGTCCTCCGGTTCTGCTCCATCGGCCGCTGCTGCTGCGGCCCCCGGCCCAACCGACATGGCGGCGGTATTGCAGCAAGTCCTGGAGCGCACGGAACTGAACAAGCTGCCTAAGTCGGTCCAGAACAAACTTGAAAAGTTCCTGGCCGACCAGCAATCCGAGATCGATGGCCTGAAGGGGCGGCACGAGAAATTCAAGGTGGAGAGCGGTAAGTACGATGCTCTTCCCGCCCTTAGCTCCGGGCCTGACTCCGTAGCTATGGCTTTTCCCCTTGCAAGCTTGTTCTCTCTACGATTTCACTGGTGTAGCATCGCTTCCCCGGTCCCCTCGGCCTTCTCGTACCAGCTCCTCTCACAGTTGGATACGAAGGAGCCTTTTTGTTTGTTTCTAAAAACCTGAGTCCACATTTAGGTCCGTTTTCCTTGTAATTACGGTAGTCTCATATAGGGACATTTAACGTTAGTTAAGAAATGATGATGATCTGGGTCTGTTCACACCGGACTAAAGAGAAGACGCAACCCCTATTTCTCTAAGCCTTGAGTACCCTGTCTGTATGTTGCACGTAAAATAACGGTGATTTCCGCTCTAGTGTCTAAGTCACCTGCATTCAGAGGCCTTACTGACATGACTACTTCGTGCGCTTGTTTTGAGTGTGTGTCGCTCTGGTCCGGTCACGAACTACATGTTCGCAAAAGTGAGTGAGGTGCAAAGGACATTGGAAACAAAGTGAACGTGCAGTGAATACGTTTACAGTGTCAGACGTATCTCTAAAAGTTGGAATTTTATGGAAACTATGTTAAGACCTATTTATAGATACCCTATAGCAGACCCTCCAATAAGAAAGTTGCCCACCGCAGTGATGTGAATATCCTTGAAATGAGAGTATAGTAATTACCATCAGTAAAAGGCAAACTTCGGTTTTATGTCTTGGTTTACCAGTTGTTTAGAGGGATTGGTACTGGGCTTTGCTACGTTGATTGAAAATTCTGCATAAATTTTTACTTCAAAAATGTAATTATCAAGCAGAATTGATTGATGTTGAATATTATTCTCTGAATCCCAAAACTTAACATAATACACTACATTCTATTCATTAATTAATACAACAAATATTGAATGACTTCAATGTGCCTGATACTGTGCTGAATAATATATACTCAGTATCTTCCTTTGGGAAGTGAACACGTTTAACATAAATTTAGTAGTTTTATACTTTCAGATATTATTTTTGGCTATTTTAACACAAGCCTTTTCAAGCAAAGCAGTTTTTAATCCAAATTTTGTCTCCATTTAATAAAACTTTTTTGGCTGCTTTATGCTAAGAAATCTGATGTGTGGGGAAAATACTAAGATAAATAAGACATGTTACCTGCCTTGAAGAAGTTCATAATCTCGTGGGATGGACAGACAAGTAACTTGTAAAGTCCTCTTTAGGCCGTATTTTCTTTTGTCATATACATATAAGTCAGTTGGAAATATTAAAATCCTTTTCAGTGCTCAATGTATTTCCCTTTACTCAAGTTATCTTATTTGGAGCTCAGTTCCATTATTGTGTCTTACATTTTAAAGTTATGCTTATTAAAAAAGCAGTGTTGAAACTGTGTGTACATGTGTGGTTGGTTTTAATTTTTTGTCTGCTCTTCTTTCTGTAGAACAACAGTACTTCGAGATAGAGAAAAGGCTGTCTCACAGTCAGGAGAGACTTGTGAATGAAACCAGAGAGTGCCAAAGCTTGCGGCTTGAGCTGGAGAAGCTCAGTAAGTATTTAATTACATCTTTATAATGTTTGTGGAGCACTGAGATGTTTAGACACGCCTTTGTATGTCAACATTTGTATCAAATGTTTGGAAACATTTACTTACTGTATATGAAAATACTGATTAAGCGTCATTGTCTTCATTTATGGTGATATTTTGATTTTCCATTCAGTGGCACAGACTTTGTAAGAACGTAGGGCTTAATAGTCAGGAGGCCTGGGTTCTAATTCTGAGTGCTATTAAAAGCTCTTTTGCCTTATGTATAATAAATCATAACAATGTCTGACTGTTGTTTATAAAATGGCTAGAACCACATGTCCATCTACGTACACAGCTTTACAGATCAAGTATGATATGTTTGAAAGCATTTTGAAAAGGCTAAAGCATTATGCAACTGAAAAGGCAAAGAGTAACTTAATTTTATATTATTGAAAAATCAATACCTGTTAGTTCCATTATTTATGTTTTAACTCTTTTTGTTATAATTTTTATAAACAGTTATGAATCTCAGTATTTGTTATTTGAAACCTAGTTCTTGTGAAAGATGAGTAGCTGTTTTCCTTCTTTATTAGTTTTCTTAACTTCATTAAGTCCTAGAAGGGACACAAGATCTTTTAAAGGTTCTGACATTTGGAGGGAGGGTGATGTGTATTATGTGCTTTATTTACAATAGGTGAAAGCAAATGTTGGGAAAGACCTTTATAGAGTAGGGGCATAATAATTTATTATTAGGTATAGCTGGATTTTAATTTGATTGGGAACTCAGGAGGCTAACAAGGAGAATGGTTAAAACTTCATCCTTCTTTCTTAACCATGTTCATGCCCGTTGACTATTTGCTTGGGTCCTAACTTTTTTCCAGCTAATATTGGCACACCTCATTTTTAAAACATATGACATGCATATGGTATGGTATGGATACATGTGTAATGAAGGCATAAATACTGAGTATTTAAATACTTGAGGTCCAGTTAATCATCTATACATAGTTTTTTGCCTTGGCATAATAAAGAGTTCAGTAGAGTAGTGATGCAAAGAATTTCAGGAAAATGACTGTGATTACATTTGCTTGTGTGGGAACTGAAAAAAGGAGCCGGAAGGGAAGATGGGGATAAACCTAAATCGACATCCAAGGTGTATAATTACATTTGTATTTTTTTAGTTATCATCTGCATCTGTAAGTTTGGAAAGCAGTAAATAACATTAAAGCAAAATAGAAAATTCAGACTAAATTTAGCAGGGTTTTTTCTTTTAATAAAGCCAATTGTTTAAATGGAATTTAAGACTGGAAGTAGTAATAATATATTTGCTCAATAAATTACTAGCACATAATATAGATGAGTTTTAATGGAAGAAAGCTTCAGAAAATACACTCTTTCCTAATTATCTGCATGTGTTTAGAAGAGAAACTGTATAAAGGGAGATATAGCCCATTATGAGTGGACATCGTGGGATTGATAATTCAGTATCAAGCATACTTTTCTTTCTTCCACATTAAAGTCTCCCTTTAGCGTGATAAATAAGCTGAATTACAATTACAGTATCCATTATTGAGACTACCCTATATACACTTTATGTAGTTTAAATGTTATTTGCTCTCTTGATACTTTTTAACTCTTTTATTTGTAAATGTAATTCACTTTTTTATGTTTGACTTGGAAGATGTTATTGAAAAATAAGGAAGTTGATAATTGCATATGATTTTTCCTATAAATGTTGGCTGGAATGATCACAAATATGATTTTGGAGAAAGATAGCATATTTAAAAATTTGGTCTAGAAATACAGTAAATTTGGGATGTATTCATGAATTTGGAATGCAATGTATAACTCACCCTTTCTGAGACTCAGTTTCTTAATTTTAAAATGTGTGTGGGTGGCAGCTGGGTAAAAACTGTCATTGCAAGTTTTAAGCTTATATGTGTATGATCATAAAATTCCTTTAATTTAGACAGTCAACTGAAGGCACTAACTGAGAAAAACAAAGAACTTGAAATTGCTCAGGATCGCAATGCTTCCATTCAGGTAAACGTTATTCCTATGAGTAAAGCTAATTGTAAACATGATAACTTGAGGACGTTTTCTGTTCTGATTTTGCTTATTAGTTAGTTAGTCAGTGGGAAGATGAAACAGATGTTGTGTAAGGAGAAGCTACTAACAAAAACATGTATATATACATAAATCTTTAAATTGCATCTTCGTGTTTTTCAATAGATTGGACATTTCTTTACTCATTAGAATATATTGGTACTTGATATATATATATTTTAAAAAAACACTTGCTTTTAGCTCTGAAGCTCTTAAGTTTTTTTTTTTTTTAATTCTCATTGTAGTAAATTGCTATAGCACTATAAATAGATGATCATAGGTCCATCTATCCACCCACCCACTTATCTACCTGCCTTCCATCTTTCCTTTCTCTTAGAAATTAGTATCTATT